TCTTGTTATTTCATGTTGTTGAAGATAATATGGGAGTGGTATTTCATTTTGCATTTGTGATGCTTGATACGAGTGTGCAGTCATTGGATTTTGTTGTTGAATTGGTTGAAAAGATTGTGTATTAATTAGATTTTGTTGTTGAATTGGTTGTTGATGTTGTGCATCTATTGGTTGTGGAGAAAAATTTCTATGATTTGTACGTGTTCTCTGTATTCCTTGTCTACGATATTCTTGAGAATTTTGTGCAAATATATCTGGTTGTAAGAAATCATCATCTGAGGATAAATAATCCATTTGATAAGATGTCTGTTTTTTATTTTTATTTTGTTGAAAAAATGGGTAATTTTCACTGCGATCCTGTGGAGGATTTGGTTGAAAATTTTTGGAATTATATTGGGCCGTTGGGTTATCCCAGTTTCGAGGTTTTGTATATTGATTAAAATTTCTTTGTGGTTGATAATTTGTTTTTGACGGATGTGTATAATTATAATTATGGTCTGCAAAGTTGTTTCTAGTGAATGTTTTGCGTGTTTTTGATGGTATTGTCATGGGTCTGTATGTTTGGTAATCCATATGTGAGTATTTAGGGGCAACCGAAGGTTTAACGGTTGATTGTAAGGTTACCTGTGTTTGTGAAGGATTTGTATTTCTTGGTGTTGTTAAATTTGGGCGTATTGGTGAAATACTTTGTTGTGTAGTTGTTGTGTGTACAATTTCTTCATTTATGAAGTGTGATGGTGTCTGGATATCTTGTTGAGTAAGATTCCTAGTTCCATTGAGGTTTTCATTGTGTATAACTGTAGAGTTTAAACTATTATTTTGTGTATCGGGTAAAAATGTATTATAGTTTAATGGTGTTGCATCAATTGTTAATGGTATTACTTTTACATAATCTCTTATGTAAGATATTGTGCCTATTGCTTGACTTGAGATTGATTGTGGAAAGCTTATAAATGCGGGATGAGACCATTCGGGGTCCCAAACATAATCTGATTGTTCTGTGATAGCGGTATCATCGTTCGAATTTTGGGGTCTAAAATTTTTTCTTGCTTGTGCAATTAAATCGATATTGTGTGTGAAATAATCTATTATGAACCATGCCAAAATTTTTTGTAAATCGTGTTTGGTATGTTGTGAAACGTCGTCTTTCGTGAAATTTTCTTTAATGATGTTTAAATAACTAGAGAGTAGTGTGATTTCATGTCGTACTCTTAAATGTTTAGATGCTTCTGTCGGTGAGACATTTGTTAATGGGATTTCGTTTTCTAATATCGAAATATAACTATATATTATTGCGAAAACTTCATTGGTGAATATGGAGTTTGCTCTTTGTGAGTTATGATATTGGATGCTTTTTATATATTCTGAAAAAACTTTTGAAAATTCTAAATCAAGATCGTCTGTTTGAATTGTATATTTTCTATTATTATGGTTTGGTGAGGTGAATTCTATGGAGTAGATTCCATACTGTTGTGTTATGTTGCATATATCTTTTAAGTAGTGGTCTATGATTTGTCTTTTGATTTTTACATCGGGGAACTCTGTTTTACATGGACTGATTCCGGGTTCAAATAAATTTACGAGTAAATTTTGACAAAATATGTGTTGTCCTCTATCAGTATCTGCGTCTACTATAAAAGGAAAGATTTCATCATCATCTGGACTTTCTTCACCTGGGGTGTGCGTTGAGCTCATTTTTTCGTTCGATGACTGTTAATATGTAATTATTAATGTGTCGAATTGGTTGATTCCAATTGTATAAATGTACTGGTTTGTGTTTGTACTGCTTTTTTATTCTTCTTTTTCCTCTTTGTGATGAATTTGAAGTTGTTTCTGAGTCAGAAAAATATAATTGATCGTGAATTGGGCAATTTTTATCTATTGATTCTTTTAGTTTGTAAAGTTCGTCTAAACTGTTGGTTTCTGATTCTGAAAATGCGTTTCGATTTTTTGAAAATCTTTTTCGTGTTATTTGTCTTTGTTTAGTTATTATTTTTCTCTTTAGTGTTTGTCGTTTTGTTCGAATGTATCCAACTGTTTGTGTATGAGGTGTGATTACAAGGTCGTATTTTTTGTTGTCTATTTCACAATTGTGTAAAACGATTGTTTGTTTATTTCCTAGGTTTTTAAATGACATAAGGTTTAGAATGACGGATGCAAAGGGTTGTTAAATGATTTCTATTTTCGTAAACTGTTAGTTCTTACGATTTTTTGGTTAGCTTAACCTGGGTCTGTTTGTTCAGGGTTGGAGAGAAAAGTATATCGATTCCGAAGAATGATTTTTTACTTTCTCGTGGCTAGTATAAGTTAAGGTGTTAACTTACTTAATCTTACTTAGGGGTAGTGATTGTGTTCAAGGGTTGGAGAATAGTAAATCGATCCACAAGGTTCAGGTATAATTAGAACGCGAGTAGTTCGTTAGATACTATTTTAAACTTACTAAGTCTAAGATTTATCCTGGGTCTGGTAAGAGGGGGGATCAAGTGAAGGATGAATAACCGAAGTTCTTCACTGTTTATCCTAATTTGAATGATTCGTTTTGTTTAAAAATTTCTATTAGTCTTAGGTCTTTAGAAAGGGTTGGGTAGTGAATCGACGTTTGAGGTCGTTAGACACTAATTAAGTGGGTGGGGGAGAACAAAGTTGTTCTGTTTGATCCAAGGATAAGCCTTGATGATCAAATTTGAAATTTAATTAAGTAGAAAATGATTTAAGATCCAAGGATAAGCCTTGATGATCTGGTTTTAAAATTAAGTGAATTTAAGTTTTAATAAAATTTTAAATGTGTGTAAAGGAAAGATTTAGTGTTTTGATGATATTAGTGGGTTTATGATTGCTGTTATGTTTTAGATGATGGAGCTGGAACAACAGGATGATTTATGATTACTAACCATTTATTGTCATGCTACTAATTTTTATTTTTATTTTTCAATAAATATTTTTCAAACATGTTTTGTATATTACTGCAGAATTTTAGGAAAACGATCTTAGATCTTTTTATCAATCGTTATTGTATATTAATAATTTTGTTTAGCGCCTGAAATGAATTTGAAGATTAACTTCAAGATTTTATGTTTGCAAATGAAAATCTAAATTCATTGCCAGTAGTATTCTAAATATAAAAGTTTGCTCTGGTTTTTGCCTAACTATCATATAGCTATATGGCAAGTTTCTACTTTGTCGTATGTCGTCTCTGGTTCGAGGTCTTCTTCCAATTCCGGGTAGTTCTGTTATGGTTCGGAATATTGGCTCTGATCTATTGAGTCGGAGAGACATTTCAATTAAATTATTGTCGTATAACATTTTGTAAATGTTTTTGTCTAATTTCTAATCTATTTTGGTTAATTCTAAGCTATTAAGGTCTTGTTCGAGACTTATGGTCGCACCAGATGAGTTAGGACCGAGGTGTATAACTCATAGAGTAATTTCGGATAGGGTACACCGTCTGCTCGTCACGCTATCTTATTTTCGGCCGGATAGATTCGTGCAACTTCTTAGTCTAATACCGATCCTAATCTTACTCTTATACTATCTAGTCTCAGGTTGTTTAACTAGTCTCTGCTAGGCTCAATAGATCTAGGGTATACTGGTTTATTGCGGCTGCTGAAGTGCTCGGGAGAGTCCAACTAATTTCTAAGTTAAATTCAAATCTCTCTGGTGCTGAAATTACAAGTAACTTCAGCACTTACAAATAAGTGGGTTGTTAGTTAGATGGATCATGATTGGTTAATATTAAATACTTTACATTGGTAAAACATTTAATTTATCCAATCATAAAATGTAGTTTAGATCAGGTTCCAACTGTATTATCATAATATAAACGTATGAAATATGTTGAAAAGGCCGTATACAGAAATAATGTAGAATAAAATATAACCATCTGGAATCATATACAAATTCGGTCAGATATAATTTTACCCATTAAGTTATGTGTTATTTTACCCGCCAGACATTGAAGATTGCCCCCTATCCCGTACAGCACTCGTTGAATTGCGGGCGAACTCAATTGCCGTGCTTGTGGTGGTATGAAAGGCCCGTTGCAGCCGTATTTGCGTCACATTAAAATGGATTTAGATTTACACATTCCATTTTATTCACCCTTACCTATACACCATTTCACTGGCACATGCCGGGTGGGGGTTAGAAAAGAGGGGGGCATATGGCAGATGGTCTTAAAAACAGAAAAAACAACAATCAGACAGACGACTGTTTGTCAGTTTAGATATCGATAGAGTGCGCGGTACACGAAATAATATCTACCCGACATCCCATACCCCCCCCCCCAAAAAACAAAACAACACCCCGATCGCCAATAAAAAAGTTTTAATTGAAAAGTTTTAGCCAGTTTATTATCAGCAAAAACAGCAAAAAAAACTCTAGGGCTAAATTTCAAGTTAGAAAAAATTATTTTGCATACTGACGCTTAATCGCGGAAAACAACCTGATCAAACTTTACCAATTTTGATTTTAGTTACTCCTCCAGAAAAAGTATTGATTTTTGAGGTTACTATGGAATATTTTCTGTCTATATATTGATTGAACTTTTATAGGGTTCGTACGTAGGGTGCTGTTAAACTCTCTGCGGAAGCCTTTCCAGCAAGAATTTGTCTACATTCCAACTGGTGCACTGAGCAAGCGTGGCGGTATGGAGCTATAAACATCAAAGAAAACTATCTTTTGATCATACTTTTCCCCGAGTTTCCCCAAAAATTTTCATCAAATCAAATAATTTGGCAAAATTTTGGCCTCGCTTCAAATTTCAGAAAGAAGATTGACCTCGCTTCAAATCTTTGAGTGTTCCACAAAAAATGCAGACTATCTAATTGAGTTTATTTCTTGTTCATTGTTTTTTCAATTTGCTGGTAAGTTAGTTGGAATTACATTCTGCCAATTGAGCAGTTTCCATATCTGTAATATCCTGCGGGCGCATTTAACCTTCCTTAATTGATCTGAATGCAGAAGTTTTATCGGGGTTTCGACGCTCACAGGGTAGCCTCAGAATTCCCAGTTGAGTAATAGAGCGTAATATTAGCAATGTTTGATTTGTATTGCCGCAGTTTAAAGTGGTGTGCTGTTATCTGTCCTTCGGTTCCTTGCTTTGCTTCCTTTATTTCAGGCTCCAAAAATCTTTGTATTTCGAACAAAGAACTGAGAGAACTTTTTATCAACAAAATCGAGCTTTCAAAGATCAAATCCGGTAAGTTAAAATATCACTTTTAGTCAAGTTCATTCAGAAAAAAAATTATTTCGTATGAAGTTCAAAAATTTCAGGTAAAAAAACTTGTTTAGTAATTACTCAATCCTGAAAGGTTGGCCAAAAATTAGATTTAACACAGGAGTAGCCTTTGTTCTCACTTTTCTCTGCGCGTTTTTTGGTGGCATTAATTTTAGCTCTCTAAAATTGTTGATAAACGATGAGATAAATTGTAAATGAGTCCTTCAATCCATGTAATCCACTCTGTGCCTTATGGTACTCAAAAAACAAAAACAAAACAAAATAAAAACATTTCTGGTCATTTTCAACGTGATGTATCAGTATCAGTGTACCACACGAGATACAAGTTTTTTGATTCTATTCGGGTTAAGCTGAAATTTGACCCAATTTGCTCCAAACTTGATACTTCATACATGCTATAATTTGACCAAAAAATTGTTATAATTCATGTATTTATTAAATTATACAACCTTCAGGCTACTTAAACCAGAAAATGTGTGTGAAAAATGTCCATTATAATTTGAAATTCAATTGACATTTTGCTGCAAATTTCAATTATTTTGGACAATCTGTGCTCATAAAATTAGACAGCAAACTATTTGCTCATCCTTTTAATATAAATAGCTTTGATAAATTTGAAATTTAAATGTTATATTTTTCTTTTAAGAAGCCTGAAGGACTCAAATTTTAAAAATTTATGTTCGGGCCGCCCCGGGTAGCGAAGGAACGAACAACAGCCCTGGGTCGACAATCTTGTCACGCCTTCTTAGATTACTCCCAGAAATGTCATAGAATATCGAGTGTGTCACTTTAAGGCTAGTTTTGCAGTGATTCAGATTTCGAAAGTATCTATTTCGACAAAATTAGTCTCTGTATTGCATAAACTATGGTCTGACATGGCAATAACTCCCATTTTTTAAGATTTTTTTCAGATCAAAGCTGATTTTTTGATGTTATAAAATATATACAACTGAAACAAAATTATTAGAAAAACTAGAATACAACGTTCCTGCCCATTTTAAATAGTCGAAACAAAAAACCATTTTGTAAAGTTTGAATGAGTAATATGAAGGTTTCAAGCTTCTTTGAACATTCGGTGCTTATTGCACCAATAACGACCTCATCGTTTTCTCCATGGGGTGAAAAAAACTGGCCTTTTAATTAAAAAAAATCATTTATTGAACTAGTTGGTCTTTTGATCGAAAATGAGGGGGAAGCTCCGTGAACAGCAAATATGTGCGTTTCGTTGCTCAATAATCACGCAATCAAGAAAAATACAAAAAGACGAGAAAAAGACTATTTCTTTCTATTATCTTTTTGTATTTTTCTTGATTGCGTGATTATTGAGCAACGAAACGCACATATTTGCTGTTCACGGAGCTTCCCCCTCATTTTCGATCAAAAGACCAACTAGTTCAATAAATGATTTTTTCAACTTAAAAGGCCACCATAAGCTATTTTTTTTGATAAGTTTTTTTTGTAAGTTACTTTTTTTGGTTTTTCTATATGGATGTTTTTTCTAATGGTTCATTTAAGGTCGTAGTATTTCATATTATCTGTATATCAAGCGGCTATTCTTGTTGGTCAAACAGAAATATTGTCATAAATTTTGAAAAGCGAGTCTGTTTTCAACATATGTTTGAATTGGTGATTTGACCGCTCTTCCTTCTCGATAATGTTATATTTCCCGTAACTTTATTGATTTTCTTAAATTATACTTCTAACTCAGCCTCGTCGTAATTTTGATAACCTTTACTTTTGTTCCAGACGCCCTGGGAATTGAAAGGGAAGAAGGCAAGACACATGACAAGGAGAAAAAAAGAGAGGAAATTGGTCTGGCCAAATGACAAGGCTGTCCCCCTGAAGTTATTCATGTCTAAATTATTTATTCACATCGCGACTTGATTCAAACAACCTTTTGAACAAACCTCAAATTCGTCTTATTTACGCCACCCTCTACGTGATTTTTAATCATTAGTTTGGAAATTTTGGACTCCTTTCTTTTTTGAATTGGTACTCGGTACTTTAGACTAGACTGTCGTTTGGTCTGATTTAAGTCCAGTTGACCAAATGTCGCAGAAGTTCGCGAGTGGTCGTGCCGTGGGAACGCGTATGAGCGCGGAGAACTTCGCCAAGTACTTCCAGTCTAAGAAACGCGGCAGCAGGTTCGCTTTCTTATCTTTTTTTTGAACTTACCTCCAGTGATTGTCAATCGAGTTTCGGATTTAAAATTGCACTTAGCAAATTCGAATCTAGTATTAATGTTTTTTATAGGGCAAACGAAAGTTGCCAAAAGTTACGTTGCTTTTAAAAGAAACTATCTGTATCTTTTTGAAGTCAAAAATGGATTATAAAAACACGCTCGTTTTCGTAATTATTAACCATTTTTCCGTGACTGCTGGTTGTTTCAATTTCAATCAGATTTCAAAGCAGAAATGTCTTTGGTTTTTAGATCTGACTATTATTCGACTCGATTTATCGGGTGTTTTTAATTATTAGGGCTTGACTTGATTCTGAGCATCATCGCATTAAAGATTCCAACTAAACTTAAGCAATTTCATTTCAACTAACCAGCTGCTTGCATCTTTAATTCGGTTCTCATATTTCAAAAGATGAAAGTTCGAGCTGCTAAAAAATACGTTCTCCTTTTATTTAGTTCTCAACCATGGTTTATTTTTTTGAGCACCAAAAGCTCTGAGTAAGAAAAACATGATGAAAATTGGTTAAAAAAAGTTGAAACCAAGATTTTTATCTAAATTTTTGTCAGTTTTATTTGCTGCGGGACTCACCTCGGGAACGTTTAAATATTGAATAATTCACTTGACGTATAAAATTTTTTTTACTTTTAATTAATGTTGGCGCATTTTGAGGAGCCAATGGGAATCAAAACACATATGCAAGACAGTTTTAATAACCACTAAAATGGTTCCACTTTCTTTTTCTCTCTCTTTTTCTCTTCTCTCTCTTTCTCTCTCTCTCTCTCTTCTCTCTTTTCTCTCTCTCTCTCTCTCTCTCTCTCTCTCTCTAAAGTATATGTTATGTGAAATCATTTGTTTTACTACTGCTGCTTTGAGGTTGAGCCAACGCAAATGATTTTTGTACAGAGACAAGCACCGCGCTAGCAGAGCAGATCTTCAATTTTTGTTCCGACTTTCGATACGAAAGTAACGGAATATTTGTGCTCGGGGTGGGTTTTTTTTTCTTCAGACAAATTTCGACTTTTTAACTAGCCATTTTTGACCGAATTTTTTTTATATCATTCAAAAGGTATTGTTGTCCTGAGCTTAAATTTGAAAAGATATTTCACCTGTGATTTTTTTTCGTAAAGTTATGAGGGTTTAAAGATTGCCGTTTTGGCCATTTTGACCAATTTGGGACAATTAACGCGCGATTGAATTCGCGCTATTAACGCGTAAGCGGAGATTTAATCCGTCTTATAAATCGTTCCAAATTGGTTAAAAGAAGCTTATTTGGCATAATTGATGTGTTACAAGGAACGAAAACTATCTTTTTGTACTTTATATGGCGTGTGGGGCGATGATTTTCATAACAAATTTCAAAATTTAGAAAAAATTTTTTTCGTTTTATTTTATTTCATATAATGTTTTTATGTTATTACTGCTGCTCCATAAAGCTTCAAAAGCAGTCGGAACATTCAGGGCTTCGCCCTGATACGAGCAGTCTTGTTTTACATTTTTATTTGCAATTGGTGATTTTATTAAACTGAATTAGAGTTCATTTTTTCGGGTTGAAAACAGAAAAATCACCTGATTTTTTAAATAGCTTGGTTTCTAAAAAAAACAAAACTGCTCGTATCAGCGCGAAGCCCTGACTGTTCCGACTGCCTTTTAAGGTTTATTGAGCAGCAGTAATAACATTAAAAAAATTAAATGAAATAAAAATAAATGAAATTTTTTTTCTTCTAAAATTTGAAATTTTTCTATGAAAATCATCCCCCACACGCCATATAAAGTAGAAAAAGATAGATTTCGTTCCTTGTAACAAATCAATTATGGCAAATAAGCTTCGTTCAACCAATTTGGAACGATTTCTCAGACGGATTAAATCTCCGCTTACGCGTTAAGAGCGCGAATTATATCGCGCGTTAATTGTTCCAAACTGGTCAAAATGGCCAAAATGGCAATCTTTAAACCCTCATAACTCTACAAAAAATGATCACAGGTGAAGTATCTTTTCAAAAGTAAGCTCATGACAACAATACCTCTTGAATGATATAAAAAAATTCCGTCAAAAATGGCTAGTTAAAATGTCGAAATTTTTCTGAAGAAAAATAAAAACCCATCCCGAGCACAAATATTCCGATACTTTCGTATCGAAAATTGGAACAATAAAAACGTTTGTTTTTCTGACGCGCTTGGTCTAGAGGTATTGACTACACTCTACAGCGGTTGGTCAAGAGGCAATCCTGCAAAACTCTACAGTGTGTTTCAAACAAACTGTTATTTTGAAAGCACTGTAATGTTTTTCTTTTTTTTTCTGCAAACGAAAGACAACTGATGAAAGTTTAAAGACCTGCTGAAATTAATTGAAAAAGTTAAAGAAAGGTCCGCACTTTTGAGCCACACAGAATTTCAATCTTTCTTTTTAATTTTTTCAATGAATCTTCACAGTACTTCAGCACTTGGCCTTTATTGTACTGCTAGCATCTTCCAATGTTTGAGTGAGTTCGTGAACACTTCGTTGGTTATCACGTTATACGATTTTTCCTGAACCCAGAGCCAACAAGCGAGGGGGTTAACATTCGAGATTTTAAAATCAGTGTTAGTATACAGGCTTTGATAGTTGGACTTTGATTTTTTGCGAGCAAGACTACTCGTATCAGGGTGAGGCCCTGAACGTTCTGACAATGAGGTAGAGCAGTTTTTCAAATTTTGAGCGAAAAACAACCTCACTTTTTGTTGGTATAGAAAAAATTCCGACGTAAATGGCCAGTTAAAAAGTCGAATTTAAAAAAAAAGAAAAGTTAGTATCTTGAAAGTGAAACAGTTTGAAAGAAGCGGCAATTTTTATTCACGTTGGTTTAATCAATGCAGTTTTATTTTAAACCAATTTTCCGTCAGTCTTGCATAGTCTCTCCAAATTTTAAGTCAAACGAATCAACAGTTACGAAATGACAAGCTGTTATAAAAAAAACAGTATATTTATAACACCCTATATTTCTTTTTTTAGAGAAATAGTCCGCCGGTTGTTTGTCTGATTGTTTTGGCAACTGTATTACCATATCAAGAAAATTTCTTGTGCTGTAAGTAATTTTCATTGTAGCTACAAGTGTTTTGATTCGTTTCTGTAACTGTTCCGACCATTGAAACTTGGATGAACTTTTTATTTGGAAATGTATTAGCTTTTTTTCCACATAAATTCAGATACCACAATAAATAATCGAAATGAGTTGAGTGATATGTCATATTTAAGTCCTTTTCAGCCGTGGTTCGAATGACGTAAAAATATTGTCTGAGTGTCGAAAAAAAAGTTTTTTTTTTAATTTTGGTAGATTTTGAGCAAGTAAAGCGAGCGTGCAGGCTTATTATAATGGATAAGCTAATTTTTGAAACTTTCATTTAAGTCCTGAAAAATAGCGTCTGTTCAGCAAAAAAACTCAGAACTAATAAAAATCAATAGGAGATTTTTTTGATTATTTTTGTAATTTGTTTTGTTCTTCTAGTCAATTTTCAACAAAAAAAATGTTGTCAAGATTGCAGCTCGTATTAATAGATGATCAGAGCTCAAAGAACGCTTCTTCACTGACAAGTTAACTTTTTTCATATTGAATGATAGCTTGCAACAATCGAAGATTTTGAAACTTCAAAATGTACTGTAAAAATAGCTGTTAAAATTCAAATTGCATTACTTTTTAAAAACTAACCTTGGATTCATTCTGACAGTTATCAATAAAAAGTTATCAAACCAATTAGTATTAAAAAATTTTAATTATCAGTTGATGAGCTTTTACCGAAAAAAGTGAAATTTGTGTGAATAACAATAGAAGTTATCCAATAACAATACGGCTGTTTTTCCCGGATTTATAATTCTTTACAAGTCAAGAAGCGAAGAATCGAGGGGGTGGGTTGTCAGGGTTTCATAAACTCACTACAAAACACAAGAAATGAAAACAACACTCCTTCAAAATTAGAGGGGAAAATCGCAAGTTAAAAATATTGCGGGCAAAGCGAGCTCTCATTTCTGTTATCATGATGTTTTGCTTGATATATTTGAAGATGATTTATTTATCCTTGTTTTTGTTTTGAATTGAATTTGAATTTAGAGATAGTATAAAGATCACATATGTGTACTTAAATACTGCATCAAGGTTACTGTACGGGCAGTACAGCCCAACTAGCAGTAACCTTAGGGAAACCTAGATAAATGAGTGAAAGCAAAACCAAGTTAAAATATGAGGGTACACAAAATTTACCCTATAAACATGTCAACAAGTAATCGATTGTCATTCAAGTACAATTTTTTTAATTTTACGTAAAAGTCTTTCTTCTGTTTGTCAGCAAACTCGTTAAGGTTAAGATGCAATAGGTTATTTGACATTAGGAAATTATAGCATTTCACAATTTTGTACAAAACCGAATTTTGTGCTAACTTTGGTTTTCTCAAAGGTAAGGGTATACAACCTAAACTATTCAACCGGGTACTACGACGCGTTTTTACATAATCAAGATTCAAAAACTTTAAAGGCGATTTTCCAAGGAACTGAAAAATTGTCTCGGAAAACAATTGGCTGATAAAAATTTCATGTACACTCTGAAGTTGGAATTTTGAAAAATACTCCGACACATGATCATACTTTCGAAGGAAGAAAATGGTTCTTAGGATTTTTTTCTGTGCCAAGAAAATTTTATCAAGGTTTGATTTCGATGTACATCCATAAGCTAATAAGCCATAAGAAATTAGTGGAATCACGTATGCAATGTAAAACTTAATTAATGCCTGTTTAGAGAAACAAGATCTTCCTCGATATAAATCACCGTTAAAATTGGAAATTTTCGTGCAAACGTTTACAGTCTGCTTATTAAAATTCAATTTTTTGTCAATTTCAATACCCAAATATTTGAAACTTTCTTTGTTTTCCATGTTTTCACCAGCAATGGAAATGGAGGCATCAGGCATAGCTTTACCAAAACCCATCAGTTTACTCTTGTCTGTATTAATCGATAACTTGTTGACATTACACCAGTCATTTAGGCTCTGAGTATCTGTTCTGAGTTCTTTCAAAAACGCTCTCGTTTTACCAGAACCAACAATAGCAGTGTCATCGGCAAAAAAGCTTATCTCGGATGTCTTTGTTACATTTGAAATATCATTGATATAAATCAAGAAAATAAAGGACCTAAAACCGAACCTTGGGGAACTCCACAAGTTATTTTTTTACTGTTGTAAATAAAAAATTTAAGAACTCAAAGTTCCTGCCCATTTAATAAATAATTTTATATTAAACTTGAGTAATTAAAATAAATATGTGAAATTATTAGTAAGCTAAATTATTGAATTATTAAATTACTAGTAAGCTAAATTAGTAAAAATACTTGTTTGATTCTTTTGTTTGTTTGATTCACTTGATGCTACTATTTTGATTCACTCAACATGGATAGAGTTGTATATTATGTTTGCAGACAAGACAGACGTGAGTCCCAAGAGCCCAATGAGTTCCAGTTCGACCCAGACTTCAAGCCCTTCCTCCTCTCTCACCGCAAGACCAACATCACCACCGCCATCTTCATGATAGTCTCAGGTGACCTTTTTTACAACTATTTTCAGGCGCGGATCTAAAGTTTGTTTTAAATTTATTTCAGGGACGGTTTTTGAAAAAAGCGCCAAAATTTTGTCATTTTTTATTAAGATCATTTATTTAGATAGTTTAAGATCAGGGGCGGATCTAGGATTTTCTCGAGGGGGGGGGGGGGCTGATTTTCAAAAATTTTCGAAATTTTTGTCGACCATTTTTTTTAGGTCGACCGAATTGATTTTCCGAGCTCCCCCAAAGCACCAAACAGACCCTGTTTTGGTAAAATTTTCGGCGCGTTTTTGGGCATTTTTTAGAAAAATTTGAACAAAAAAAGTTTTTTTTTGGCGCGCGCTCCCCTCTTAAAGTAAGTATATATTGGCGCCAAAGGCGCCTTAAGAAAACTTTCAGGGTCCATTACCAAATATGGATATCTCAAAATAGTACAAAGGGGGGAACCTTTGGGTCGGCAGGGGGTCGAATCCCTGAGGGGCGGGAGGGGGGAGTTTGTCCGCCCCCCCCCCCTAAATCCACCCCTGTTTAAGATCGTAAAAGGTTGTGTATGTGGGCACTGAAGAGTGTATCTTTAAATTCAATTTTTTTGGGGTGGGTCAGCCAAAAATTGGTGTCGTAAAATGGTACCAAAGGAGGGGAAAATTTGGAATAATTTGGCAGAGTGAATTGAAGAAAAATCATTAACGTCCTCCCCCCCCCCCCCCCTTCGGCACGTTACTGCTTCAACCTATAGCTTAAGAGATGTAAATAAGATAACTATATATAGGCAAAGAGGAGAGGGACACAACAGCGGTTCTCCGTAAAGAACTGAACAGATCGTATGTTAGTCCTTTTCCTCGTGGATAAATCGTCTTAAATCGGCCTAAAAAATCTCGTCTACTATAACTTGACACAGCTTTATCCTTTGAATTAATACTGTCCCTGTTTGTGAGCAGGTGCGTGCATGTTACTCGTGAGTCCCTTCTGCTCTTACTCTGTGAGCAGCAGCAGGTGCTGGACCAGTGAGAGCCTAAAGAGTGTGTACAGTCAGGCCCTTGTGGCAGGAGAGAGCATAGACAGGATACGGTAGGCGATAAACCGAAAACTGTGGGGGGGGGGGGGGGGCGGCTGTTAAAAAAAAAATTAGAGTTTATTGCTCCGCTATTTGCGTTTTTTTACACCTTAATCATTTTTAGCAGAACATACTTGGACCTTATTATGAACCTAAAACGAAGGTATCAAAAACAAGAGCTTAAAAACCTAAGCTAAAAAGCAGAAAAATTTCACAATGAAGCTAAAAATGAAAATTAAGCTAGAAAGCAGGATACAAAAATTGTTTGCTAAACCTGATCCTAAGTTTCAAAATTTTCCTGTTAACGTCACTATTTTCAACCCTAGCAACTTAGCTTTTGACGACTGAGTCGGGAGCAAAATTGCGAAGAATAGTAAGGGGTAAACTTTTCACGGGGCTGGCCTATATTCCCAAAAAAAATGGAAGTTTTTGTCAAAGTTTTTTAGGTTGAAGATCAAACTTACAACGAGTTCTCCCAAAACACTATAAAAAATTACTTCACCGAATTTTTCGGTACCGCAAAACTCGAAAAGGCCGAAACAACTTTTCGGGAAGTTTTTGAAGGTATTGATCCAAGCACTGCGTTTTTTCATGAGCGCTTCCCCCCTTCAACTTTAAAATTTTTTGGCACCTTTAAAAATATTTTAGGGCTAATGGGCCAAAGTTGGAAGGGGAGGGGGTCGAAGTTGGCAAGGAGGTCGAATCCCTGAGAGTGATGGTCGTCGTCCACTCCTAAATCCGCCCGCGCATGGAATCAGTTCTGACCATTTCTTCAACTCTTTTCCATTAAACATGGCTTCTTTTCTGAACTGACATTGACCCATTAATTTTAAAAAACTTCGAAATCACAATTAAATAAACGAAATTCAGTTCCGATGTTTGGAAACTTTTAAATATAGTCTTATATTTTCACTCCGTCAAAACTATTAAACCATTTGTGTTTATCTTAAAAAAAATTAGCTGGCCACAGATCACTTTAGTTATAGTTGACAAAATCAATAAGAACTTTTAAAATGAAAACCATTTTCTTTTCTCAACTAAAGCTCGGTCCGCATTTTTAACTGTTGTTTCTGTTGCCAGATGGATCTACGGTCTGCGATACATCGGGGGGTTCCTGCTGGGCATCGGCATCTTCTATTTTATCCTCATTGTCCAGTTCCACTCGTGGAGACACAAGATGGGAATAGACTTGGCCAACAAACAGAGTAGGATGGCGGCCAGCAGTGAGAATGACGGACACTCCTCGAACTTCAATGTCTATGACATCATGGTCAAGGCGTGGGTGAGAGACCAGCGCACTTTGGACAAAAAGTGCCAAGAGATGGAAGACGTGAGTTCTTTTCAACTGCTTCACCCACTGCTTTTAAAACATGGAGGAGTAGTGATGGTGTTAGGGGGGGGGGGGGGGGGCTGAGTGCTGATGGTCGTCCGTTGTTGTAGTGCCTTAGGCCGCCCGACTTCTTAAAATGACATTGCAGCATGTAGGGTATAACTAAAGTCAGGGGCGGATTGAGGGGGGCAAACGCCCTCCTCCGGGATTCCACGGCCTGCCGATCCAAAGAGTCCCCCTTTGTACTATTTTGAAATATCCTTTGGCGCTAATATATATTAATTATGAGGGGGAGCGCGCGCGAAAAAATGCAATTTTTTGTTGTCAAAATTTTCCAAAAAGTGCCTAAAAACTCCTTTTTGGCCTCTTTTTTTCCAAATTTTAGTCAAAAATTAGAGTTTGAGCCCAATTCTAAATGTGTCCGCATTGCAGTTGTTTTTCTTTTCTGACTTAGGAAAACTTCGGAAAAGATTTTAGCCCAACTGAAACATCAAATTATTTTTGATGTTTTTGAATATCTGCCACCTCCGAAATCGACCCCTCCCTTGAAGAATAATTTAGAAAAGCGATCATATTTTCCACTAAAGCAGAGCAACATACCATTAACATGAAATATTATGTATTGAAACTACCGTCTTCGTCTCTATCAAAAAAGCCATCCTAAAACGTGGTAAAAACAAACACTTTATCCAGAAAAGCAGTAACATATGTATCAAACACTTTTTCGCAGGGGACTCTATTTTGAATTTTTTTTCCAGGAAAACTTGCCAGTGATAGATGCAGACTCAATAAAAAGTGTGGATTCCGAGAACTTCATGCCCCCCTCGCCCTTCACGTACCACTCTCCAACCATGCCACGTGACAAATAGCACCCCTTGCCCCCGCCTTCTGTTCACACCTCGCTACAAGTGCATCCTCTACCCAGAGAAGCTTCTAAACACTTGCCTTCATTGACTTTATTTCCTCACGATCAGAATCAGAATCCAACAAACAACAATCGGTTTGATTCATTCATCACCCTGCATTTCAGCAGATCGAAGCTATTTAAAAAGTAGATTCTGTTTTAGTTTTGTATTGGTATAAAAAATTTTTGTAACGTTTGAGCTGGCAGACAGGTTCAAAAACAGTCGAAAAAAAAGAGCAGCTTCATTTAATCGTATACTGAAGTTGTCCCAACTTTTGAGTGTGCAACTTGTTCAATACCCACAGCTAGAACCCCGATGTCATTCTCTGTTTTTCCTCCCTAGTTATATTGGGTTTATAATTGAGTTTTACGATTTGGTTCGAGCAGGCAAAACTATTTCTAACTGTTTCTACCTTCTCCAACAGAAAGAGCAAGTTTCTCAGTCTGAATTTTTGTTTGTAGAGATTGCTGACAAATTTAGGGTTTATTCGATTCTTTATCATGAAATTCACGCGCCAGTACTCCAAGCATTCAAAAAAAGTTAGTCATCGAGTCTACTTCTCGATGAAGTAGAAAAAAACGCCGGTTGCTGGTTTCCAGCCTCCACAACTACAAGGCAAAAATTGCTGGGCTTGTCTTTTTCAATTACGGTTGTGCTCGAGCAGGCAGGATTTTTTCTCACTGTCTCCATCTTCGCCAGCACAGATTCCTAATAAAAGTAAGCCGCGAATGGGCTAGAGCTTCAAGCACTGATGTTTTTGAAAGGTACACTACTTTTTTGAAATTTGGCATAGTAACAATTGCTGATTCGTTCCACTTGAAGAATAACTGGTGGCGCTCAAGTCAATCCACAGATGAGCAATTTTCGCGATCTGAGTTTTTTTTTACGTGAGTGGAACTGAGTTTTAGTTGGTGCAAGTTTTCCCTTGACAGTGACAAATCAAACTTTACTGCGCGCCTTATATTGTAGATTAATATGTTTTAAACGTATAAAATTACCCAAAAGTTGATGATGCCGAATGATGCATAATAATAAGTGAAGGGGATGATAACGAAAGGGACTAAAAACTAGTTTTGTAAAAAAACCTCTTCCTTATAAGAAGAGGAGGGAATATAGTGAAACTGCCGGGCTGTCCATTAGCCCGAGCAGATCAGAAGCCCTGTCCCAATCCAGAACCCGAGGGCGACTACGTCTCTGAGTTGCTCAGTGAGTATTTCCCACTCAGGCGACCCAGGGACAATAGTCCGGGGAAGAGGTTTCCCCTTGGCCACTGGCGCGGCTTGAGCCAGAGCTCCTTCACCACCAGAACGTCAGGATAAGGCCCAGCCTGAAACCGGGCATGTACTTCCTCAATGGGGATATTAAGGAGTACTAAACCGCCATACGGGATAAAAAAAGTTTTCAGTGTAGGATGGCATTTAAAAAAGCGAAGTAACATTTTAAATGGCATGAAACTGTTTGTCTTTTAAAAACGTTGTCATGTTTCGAAATATAATAATTTTAAAAATTTCCCTACTTTTTTCCTGAATTAAAACACTGAGTATTAAAACCTCTGGTGAAGGTGAACTAATTTTTTAAGTGAACGCAGTTTGGAATGTTAAGATCATAAGCAATGTTTTGAACTAAATTATTGCGCTGTGAGTTGCTTTAGTTTGTATGAAACTAGAGATAATCGGATGCTGCCTGAACAAAAAATCTTTTCCAATACATTTTGCAATTGGGACAAAAGTTGTCCAAGATGTTGAGTGTGCAATTTGTTCAATACCCACAGCCAGAAACCGATGTCATTCTCTTTTTTTCCTCCTTAGACATATTGGGTTTTTGATTGAGTTTTACCATTTGTTTCGAGCAGGCGAAATTATTTCTAACTGTTTCTACCTTCTCCAACAAAAGGGGCAGGTGTCTCAGTCCGAATTTTGATTTTTACAGGTTGCTGACAAATTTAGGTTTTTTTTCGTTTCTTTATCATGAAAGTCACGCCCCAGTACTTCTAGCTTTCGAAAAACGTTAGCCATCGAGTCCACTCTTCGATGAAGTAGAATCAGAATACCGGTTGCGGGTTTCCAGCATCCACAACAACAAGGCAAAAACTGCTGGGATTGTCTTTTTCAATTACGGTTGTGCTCGAGCAGGCAGAATTGTTTCTCACTGTCTCCACCTTCGCCAGCACAGACACCTAATCAAAGTAAGCCGCAAATGGGCTATAGCTTCGGGCACTGATGTTTCTGAAGTGTACACTACTCTTGTCAAAAAATGGCATAGTAACAATTGCTGGTTCGTTCCCGACGAAGAACAACTGCTAGCGCTCAAGTCGTTCCACAGATTAGCAAGTTTATCGATCTGAGTTTTCTGTTTTGCATTTTGCTGGCTAACTTGTCCAGGTCTTTTATCACCACGTAGTGATGCGTGCCCATATCGATTCTAGCAGCAAGTCCACGCCAAAGTTGGAGTGATCTTTCGACATTTTCAAGAAAGAGAATGTTTTCTGTTGTTCCTAAATTTTAAACGGATGTTTTTTATACTAGTTTAAAGTAATCAGAATAAATTTTTTCAATAAATAAACAACTAAAAATTGGGCTCAGATATAAATTCACAACAACTTCAAAACTGTAAAAAAACACTGCAAAACTATCTGCTAACTATCATGCAGACATTCACCAGCATTTCATTGAGAATTTCGTAGAGTCCAATAGCCGGTTGGCCAAAGGGTAGACGAAATCACCCTTGGGTTTCTGCGTTCAACTTAGCTCATTTTCTCTCGCCGATAATCTGCTTTGTACGATGAAAGAGCGAGAAGTTATTCTGGCAATGATGATAGTGGCAAATACGATGCAACCCTGATCGGTGCAGATTTCATCATGACATCATGAAATTCCATCATTTGCAGGACTGTTTTATCAACCCAGTCAGTTCTCCACCCTCTTTCACGACAAATACTGATTAACATCAGACAGTACCTGGTCTACCTAATCATAGAATGGATTCTCTGTCTACTCTTGGACGTCCAAATCAAGCTCTTTGCAATTGGCGAAAATGGTTATTAGATCTTCTGCGCTATCTGCTTTCTCTTTTTCAAGGTTCCCTTTCACCGGCAGCTGAGCTTATGAGGATCGTACAATGTAAATTGATTTATCAGTTCTCGATACTTTCTCTCTGAGTCATAAAAAGCGCTTAGCAAGTCCAGTTCATTTTCATGGGCACTATGTCCTCTATTCTGACTGCTCCATTAAACTCTGTCTCAGCATACCATTGTAGCAAACCTATGACTCAACGCTGCAATCAAAAACAAATTCTTTGATATTTTTTGACAAAAATGAAACATTTTTGGATACCTTTTTTTTGTTTTGGGTTTAGTTAGAAAAATTATCCTAAGTTTCGAATATAACGGCCGATTTTCAGAGGCGAAGTTAGTAGTACTGTAAAAGTGGCTAGGAAAATGACCACTTTTAACGCCCTCCCCCCTTTCTTCGGTGTGCCGTTTCAGTGACTACGTTTAACTACCAAAGGAACTAAACTCGTACTTTCGGGCACACCTATTTTAAGGGGGTTTGAAATTGGTCATTTTCAGCCACTTTATGGAAACGGGAATGGAATTGAGTTTTGGTTGGTGCGTGTTTTCCCTTGACTTTGACAGTTCAAATTTCACCGCACGCGAGTGATTGATATCTATAAAGTGTATAAACTTACCCCAAAGTTGATGTTGCAGAAGGCAAATTCGAGGGGATAAAGAGCGGATAAAAGTAAAAGGAATAAAAGGACTAAAAACTTTATTGTGCGCGTTATATTGTGGACTAATATGTATTAAAAGTATAAACTCGCCCGAAACTTGATGATGCCGAATGATGCATATTAAAAGGTATAGGGGATGATAATGAGAGGGACTAAAAAAACTAGTTTGGTAAAAAAAAACATCTTCTTTATAAGAAGAGGAGGGAATATAGTGAAACTGCAGGGCTGTTCATTAGCCCGAGCAGATCAAAATTTCTGGTCCCAATCAAGAAGGGCGACTAGGTCGCTGAGTTGCTCAGTGAGTATTTCCCACTCAGGCGACCCAGTGACAATAGTCCGGGGAAGAGGTTTCCCCTTGGCCCACTGGCGCAGCTTGAGCCAGAGCTCCTTCACCACCAGAACGTCAAGATAAGATTGTGCTCGAGCAAGCAGGATTTTTCCTCACTGTCTCCACCTTCTCCAACACAGACTCTTAATCAAAGTAAGTCGCGGTTGGGCTATAGTTTCGGGCACTGATGTTTTTGAAGTGTACACTACTTTTTCTTGAAATTTGGCATAGTAACAATTGCTGGTTCGTTCCACATGAAGAATAACTGGTGGCGCTTAATCCGTTCCACAGATGAGTAATTTTGCCAATCTGAGTTTTCTTTTTTACGTTAATGGAATTGAGTTTTGGTCGGTGCATGTTTTCCCTTGACTTTGACAGTTCAAAGTTTACTGCGCGCGTTATATTGTGGAGTAATATGTATTAAACCGACAAATTTACACAAAAGTTGATGATGCCGAATGATGCATAATAATAAGTAAAGGGGATGATAATGAAAGGGACTAAAAACTAGTTTTGTAAGAAAAACCTCTTCTTTATAAGAAGATTTGGGAATAAAGTGAAACTGCTGGGCTGTCTATTAGCCCCAGCAGATCAGAAGCCCTGGTTCCAAACCAGAACCCGAGGGCGACGACGTCTCTGAGTTGCTCAGTGAGTATTTCCCACTCAGGCGACCCAGGGACAATAGTCCGGGGAAGAGGTTTCGCCTTGGACTACTGGCGCAGCTTGAGCCAGAGCTTCTTCACCACCAGAACGTCAAGAGAAGGTCAAGCCTGAAACGGGACATGTACCTCCTCAATGGGGATATTGAGGATTACTAAACCGCCAAACGGGATAGTAAAAAAATCCGTGTGGAATGGCATGTAAAACAAACAAATTAACATTTTAAACCGCATGAAATGGTTCGTCATTTAAAAGCTTTTGGATCAAAATGTGTCTGAAGCTGATAATTTTAAAACTTTCTCTAGTTTTTTCCTGAGTTCAAAAAACATTATCCCGAAAACAGCATCAGATGAAATTGTTCTTCTAGGTGCGTGTTTTTTTTTAACCAGTCTCAAGTTTTTGACTTGGATTTGGAACAAAAACTTGTAAAAACGATTGAAAAATTAGTTATTGTTTACAAAAAATGTTTAAATAATTGAAAAAGGCTGATGGT